TAAATGTGGGATATTAACCCCTTGTCAGATGTATCATAGGCAAATATCATCTCTCATTAACTAGGCTGGCTTTTCATTTTGTTAATGGTTTTCTTGCTGTGCAAAAGCTTTTTAATTTGATGTAGCCCCATTTGTTTATTTTTTCTTTTGTTTCCTTGTCCTAGGTGAAAAATTACTAATAGCATTATCAGAGAGTTTACTGCCTATGTTTTCTTCTAGAAGTTTCATGGTTTGGGGTCCTACATTTAAGTCTTTGATCCATTTTGAGTTTATTCTTGCGTATGGTATAAGAAGGTGGTCCAGATGTAAGCATCTCCAATTTTTAAAAGAAATGCCATCTGCCATACTTTGGAGGAGTTTGGCGATGGGGAAAAAGATAAGGAGTTACCAGCTTGGAAAAGTATAATTAATCCTCAAAGTGCTTTGATGCCAGCCTTGGAAGTTTTTACAAAGGAATTTTTCTATTTTATTACTAAATTTCTGTCAGGCTTATATTTAACTTAAAGGCTATTTTCATTAAGTCCCCAAAACAAAAGATTTGGATGGAGAGATAGGGTCAAACAGAGATGAATTCTGTGAAGTAATTGAGATCTAGCCAGAGGACAGGGAGGAAATAAGGTTCCTCAGTTTTCACAGTTCATTATTCCTTCCTTCTCGAAACACTTTCTCCTTTGACTTGCAAGGCCCACACACTTTCTTATTTTTTATCTTACTTTCTCAGTCATCATTGCCAAGCCTTCTGCTTTCCAAGCCTGAAATGTCAGAGGGTCCCAGGGCTAAGCCCCAGATGCCTTCTCTCTTCACAGGCTTGTAATCCTGTTCTTTCTACACATAAATGCTGTGATCACCACATTTCTAGCTCTAGCAATGGCCTCTGACCTCAACTCCAGGCTTATCTAGCAAGCTGTTTACTCTGTATCTCCATTCATCTTTTTCAAAGATGTCTCCAGCTTAACTAGTTCAAAACCAAACCCTCTATTCCACTCCAAAATACTCTGCCCCTCGTGGGTCCTCCCCATTATAGTAAATGGCGTCACCACTCACCCAGTTGCTCGGGCCCAAATCTCTGTTGTTGTACCTGATTCCTCTTTCTTTTAGACCCTGTATTCAAACCCCCAGCTTCAGAAGACATCTGAAATTCAGCTACCAGCCTGGTCCAGGCCATTCTTCTTCCTAGCCCATCTTTTGCAGTAACCACCTAACTGGTTGCCTTTCTACAGTTCTTCATCCACCCAGCGGCTAGACAGTTCTATTAAAAGATAAGTCAGGTTGTGTCATTTCTCTGCTCAAAACCTTCCAATGGCTTCCTCTCACATTTAGAACAAAAGCCAAAATCTAATTCATGTAACCTTCAAGATCTCACATATCCTGGCCTTTCCTGCCTCCTCCTCCTCTTCATTTCCCACCCTCCCTTTCGCAGGCACTTGCCCTACTCCAGTCAGATTAGGGCAGCTGCCTTATAGTTCTTCAAGCCTGCCAACCACGTTGCCGCTTGCAGGGGTTTTGCATTTGCTGTGCCCTCTACCATTAACGCTCTTACCACATCATTTACATGGTTTGCTTCCTCCCTTCCTTTACATCTTTGCTCAAATATTTCCCCCTTTTCAGGCTTTTCCTGACTCATACTATCCAAAGGAGAATCCCCACCATTCGATTTCCATCCCCTTATTTCATTTTTCCTTACAGCACTTCTCACTATCTGATGTTAATTTTGATTGGTTTATTATGAGCATGTCTCCTGTTAGCATGTAAGCTCCATGAGTGCAGTGTTCATCACTGTAGACCCAGTGCTGTGAACAGTGTGAGGCACATAGTAAGTATTGAATAAATAATTTTCGAATGAATTAATGAATATCGTAGACATTAGATCTATTTCTCTTGCTTATTCTCTTTCATTGAATGCATAAATATACAGCTGGCCATGTGATATGTTATTTTTTATTGGTTTAAGCCACTCCTTACCTATCTAAGCCAAAGCTTATGTCATTTTCACAGCAGTAGAAACTAAGGGAGGCAAGGTCCTCATTACCTCACACCACACCCTAGTGTTCTGATGAAATCAAGATGCACACATAACTTTAATCTTGAATACCGAAGTTTGTCTTTCTTGCATTTTTCCACAGTTGACCTGTACTGGGCAAGACTGTTCAAAAAGTAATCATAACTGCCTCAGTTTCCCTAGCGTAACTGAGAAGAAGATTGGGTCTGGGAGAAACAGACAAGCAAACAGGCCTGCACTGTCCCATTTCCTGTCTCAGTTGCCACCTCATTCCCATTCATGAGAACTGACACTTGTGTGGATGGCTGCCACATTCTTTTGTGTTACAAATCAAATCATCTGAGCCTCTGGGAACACTGACCCCACCACCCTACAGGTGGCTGTGTACTGCTAAGGCCTGCACTTCTGGCTCCTGGGTAACTTCTTAACCACTTTTCATAGGAGAAAAAGATGTAATAACACATAGCAATTAAAATCCTAATGACTGGCAAAAATTTGCTTGATGTACTTAGAATCATCGAGTCTAGTGTTTCCTAAACCTGACTACTTAACAGAATCACCTAGGTAGATTTTTAGAAATAACAGATTCCCAGATCCCTCTCTAACCCTGGGGTTGTGAAAGGGCTTTAGTGTGGTATACACACCCACATACACAGTCTCTCTCTCCCCACCCCCCTCTTGCTCTCTCTAGCAGATCATATATAATCTTAGTGATAATAAG